TGACTAATACGCTTGGTTTGAGACTATCGAGAGAAGAAGAAGAGTGAGAATCTGAGTTTTCTCCATGGATGAGAGACTCCATTGATGAGAGAGCTCGAGCGAGAGAGAATAACTTCCCAACTGTTTGTATTAATGGCGGTGGAGGAAGAAGGAGAAGAGGCACGTGTGAGTCACGTGAGGGTCATGGACCGGTCTTATAGAGAAGGAAGGAAGGGGGGGGGGGGGGGACGTTGGGAAAGAGGCAGAGAAAATAAATGTTATCGAACCAACTCAAACTGTCTCATATTTAATACCATAAAGTTAAATCAAATCAATGCTTTTCATTTATATTTTATTTATTTTCACCATCTATAAGATATTAAAACAACATTTACTGATCAAATTTTATTAAATAATTTTTTACTGATAAAGTTTGGAGGTTTTGGTTTCATATTATTGAGTCCATTCCCTTTATGCTTACCTTGTTGAGCCTAAAAACAGATGGATACCTTTTTTGACATATTACTACCCATATTGTTATGATAATTCTTTTAACTTTATATGGCTTTTTGTTTTGGTTATGTTATATCATAGCTATCATTATTTTTTCACACAGTGTCCTTTTCCAATATCCATTACTGGTTTTTGGTTGCCAAGTGTTACAAAATCCGACGATTTTATTTATGCAGTATAACCGGGAAAAAGTTTGTCTCCTTGCGTGAACGAAACCAAGCTTAAAGAAAGCAAACCGGTTTAAATGGGGGAAAAGTACTAGGAAGATTTATCAAACAACCATAATTCGTTAGAAATGATAATCATCTTGATAAAAAGATCATATCAGTAAATAATTATTTTAAGAAGAAAAATAACGTGCATTATTGGCTAAGAAGAGTGTTCAATATAAATTGTTATATAGGCTATTAAGAAAATTCGAGAATGCAATTACAGTGGAAAAATATATTTCATAAATGCGTTAAAATTCAACATTCAACTGTCAAGGAAATGTTTAATACGAATTTATCGATAAATTTGTTAGGAAAGGCTACAAAGACTATTTACATTTGTTGAAAACATATCTTGTTTGTTATTGTTTGAATAGAATGTTTATGAACATTCTATATTACCCAGAACCTTAATTAATTCATTTATTCAAGATCAAATTCGGTACGAGCCAAAACGAGAACAATATAGTATACGAATTCCACAAGTTAGTTGGCTTAAAAATTAATACGACTCCACAGGGGACATGTGAACACAGCTATTATTAAGATATGAAAAATCAGAATGACACTTGTAATATTAAGTCCTTCACGTAATGCATTAGACGTACAAAAATACACGTGACGACTCATTGTTGGATATTATTGTTTTTGGGTTATACATATCTGTATTGTATTTGCGTAAAATAAGGTTGCAGTTGCACGTTCGTACCATGCCTTCTTACTCCATTAAGGTCTAATAAAATGTTAAATTTTGGAGTTCCACGAATTCTGTTTTTATTTTATTAAGAAACAGAGATTATACAATATGAAGATATCAAATCTATCCACAGACTATGCCACCAAATACGTAAGTTGCATGTAGATACAACCTGTCTCGAAGCATTATATTTTATTAGCGATTTAAATAATTAACTTAAATCATAATTAAATTATCATCTCTCGAGGTTCGACCAATCATAGAAGAACCAATCATATAAAGTCTTAGCCAAACATTTTCCCATTTTTTTGTGATTCTTATCGAATGATCAATTTATTATTGTGGTTGTCATTTGACATAGTGTACTATCAAGACTAACATTCTGTCATCAAATCAATTTTACAAAATTACATTTGTATTTACTAGATTTTATTCTTAATTTTCTACATTTGAATATATAACAAACTAGTTTTTAGATGATCTAAATTTGTTAACACTTTGTTTGATTTGATAGTTGCTAGGATTCTTCTTTTTAATGTATTTTTTCAGTGACAAATTTTTTTTTTGTTATTTCTAAATATAGCCCGTAGATATAATAAACTTATTATAGTTCTCAAATCTTATTCAAAGTGTATGAAATGAACCAGTGGACCATTTTTCAGCGGATGCATTTTATTGCTGTATAATTTAGGTAGATGCAATAAATTAAGATATTAGTATTTGAAAATTTCTTTTACAGAAAAATAATAAATTTAATTTATTGTCATAAGAAAATGAAAGAAACATGGTGTGCTCTTGTGTCTGTGTACCCTCGAAAGGACAACAAAGTCATTAAAACAGACAACCAACCTTTATTCATCAAAACCATGAATATTTCCACGTCACTTATTTATTTCCTTCCCAAATCAATTTCTTTTGTTTACTTGATTTTGTCCTCCCTTACTTGTATTGCACTCTAAGCATGTTCTTCTTTTTCTAATCTACAACTTAAAAAAAAAAAAACTTGATTTTTCTCCTTAGAATAGTCTATTTCTTAAGGTCGTTCGCTCACTGACTCAAAGTCAAAGTGTCCAAAAAAGCAGCCTAAAGACAGATCGAACAAATTGTGAGCCAAGATGATTAAAGTGTACGTAGCTGTGTAGGATCAAAAGAAAGCAAATTTCTGAATACTAAAATGCACAATCACTAAAAAAAGAAAAAGGATCAATCAACATAAGAAAGCTTTCATATTAAATATTCCTGAGATAGGGAAGTGAGGTTTAAAGACACAAACTTGCAGTTAGTGAGGAATAAACAAGTGACATTTATCAAAACACAAGAAATATGTTCAGAAATAACACACTTCCCTATGGTAAGAATTGGACTTGATCATAAGAGTCTCAGACACAAGGTATGAATCCAAGTGGAATCAAAGTATAACAAGATAATTATCTGTCACCTTGCATTAATTGTCCAATATGATAACTTGTGCTGGGATGTTCTAAATGCCTTTTATCATATCTGTAAATAAACAAGTACACACTAGTAAAGTAAAGTGTAATTAGACTAGCAACCACATTTCACACTAATGGTTGCTCTCATAGGTTACCAACACTATATTTGTAGCAAAAAAAAAAAAAATCCTTAATTTTGGTGATTCTCCACAAAATGAACAATAATGGTTGTTTGCATTGTGGCATTGTGACAAATCCCTGCCCAGATACGACCCTTGATCTGTAAAGGGGCATTTATATATTGTCTATGTATCCTCATGAAAAATGTAAATAAGATAGACATACATAGATGAGAAACATCGAACAATCGCAAAATGATGAAAATTAAGCAATTTCATATTGGTTGAAAAAAAGCTTGGTTTGAAGATACTCGGAATTAATATGAGGATACTCGGGATAGGAACCATAGTTTCAGAACCATGTTTGAAAGTTCACATGAAAATGACTTACACTCACCATTTTTCTGTTAAAAGAGTCTTAAATAAGCTTAGGTAGATCATCAACACAAGCTAAATAAAATCAACACATCAATAGATACAAATAAATAGCAGAATTAAGAACTAGGAGAGCTATACATTCAATGCCTTAGATTCGAAAACAAGGCTTTGTGGTGATCATAATGTACATATGGAGATAGATACTCGCAAGCAGGATCAACCGATACGCTTCTTTTTTTTTTTAGAAAGAAACCCATCCACTGTTGCTCTTATATAGCCACAGATTCTCAACTAATGTAATTGTTCACATAATTGTTCACATTCGGCTACTTTTTCCGAGCGTAATCATATCACATATTCAAACAATTGTAGAAGCGGAATCAAGAGCTTAAGAGAGCAAAATGTACTTTCAGTTTTTTTACCTCTAGAAGTCTTTGAAACGAAAACAAATTTTTAGAACATCACACATTGTAAGTGGAGTCGTGGAGATAGATCTAATTAGTTTTGAGTTAATCCCTTACCGTCACTTCAAAATGTGATATATTCTACTCTTCTACTGTAAAGAAACCCTAAAGGCACGCTAACGAGCTTGAAGGTCTTTTGTAAATTTGTAATATATCGAATGGGCTAGAGCTCGAAAGAGGACTATGAATAGAAGACAAAACATAGCTTTATTCTTCTGTCAAAAAATATAATTAGAGAATG